ATTAACAGACCCACCCTTAGTAGTCTGTCGACAAACTTTATTAGATGATAAGCCCATATTGGCAGAAGAGATTATAGTCTCACTGATTTTTTGTCAAAATTTCTTGGGCACTTCTTCTTCCATGTACCAAGTAGGTTCACTGTACTGTACATTAACCCTTTTCAACAGCCTTTTGCATCGTTAATATGGATGGCAAACAAGCAATGCACTTTATGTGTAAATATGGCAAGTGCAACAAACATTTCTTTTCTTCCAAATTTGAAATAAAAGCAGAATTTCAAGACTGGACAGAAGGAGAAATCACCCTCAATTTTTTAAAGGGTACCAGCTTAAAGACCCGACTGGTCAATGTTGGATGAAAGTGCTCCTCAAAGCTGCACTATCTTCAGCCAATTATTGGCTCGCTTTAGTGACTTCCAGGGTCATAGTCCAAAGCAAGACTATTATCCATCAAAGCGCTCATCTCAAAACTTTCTACAGGTAGGCCTCGTAGATCTGATAAGATCTAAAACTTGATTTTTTATAGTAAGATATCATTTTACGTGTACATGTACACTGAATGTGATGTGTTCATGTACGTTATATGAACATTCAAATCCAAACATATGGCCAACTAATGTTGGATTTTTAACCCGAAAAAGCTGCCAGTGGCCTTTTTTTCCTGCAAATTCGTTGAAATTGCAATTTATTAATGACGCAACCAAGCACACCGCATTAATGTATCAACTGCTAAAATGAAAAAAGAAGTCTCAAGAGAGTGTACTCGTCCTCCGTCATCTGACACCAAGTGGGTAACAAGGAGGAATTCTATGATTGATTTCACAGTTTGGGTGTTCCATATGTCTTGTGTATGCTCACAGTGTTTTTCATCAACACAAAAATCGAAAAGGTTTCAAAACAGCTTCATAGCTGCAAAGATTCCCTGCTGCTTTCGTGTCCATTGCTTATGAAACCTGTGAATGCAAATCATACAAGATAAGACCCACAGAAATATACTTCGTGCCATTAACAATTAACCAGTGAAAGAATTTAGTCAAATGTTAGGTAATGGGTATCAGGATTTTTTGGTTTGTTCAGCCTTGTGGTATACGGGACACAGATGCAGTACTGTACATTATTCTGTGCACATAAAGACTACTGGTACCCTGTTCAGTGGTTACCAAAAAGCATGATAACTAGGAATAATTGAGGACCTGTTAACTGTACATGAATTTTGGAAATACATCCAAATCAGTAGGCCTACAGTGTACTTGTAGATGGTGTATTTCCAAAAGTACGTCTACATGAAGCTGTTTTGTGGGAATTGGAAATGATATCAGTCCCATTTTCCTCACCAGATTATAATCCATACATATCTGCAGATATCACGTATTGAAAAAGTCAGCATTTGAAGTTCTACAGGTACACATGTATGTAATGTACGTGTGCATTTATACACGGAAGGATTATCCTACCCCCTTAAAGGCAGGCCTACACAACCCATTTGCATACCGTACACCGAGTGTTCATTTTATTCAGTCATCCATACTGTAAGGGGAAAATTTTGTACAGTGTACAGAGGTTTTTCTATCACAGCAGTTGCTGGGTGTGTTGGATTGATTGTTGCAGCGAGGGCCCCAAAGTGTATTAAATGCATGCTGCATACCGGTATACATGTACATGTACTTCACATTCCGCTCCGTGAATGTGTAATCCTGGGTGTGGCCTTCAGCAAACACCAAATTAAACTTGTACAATAATGCCCATGTACCAGGGTAGTTTGCCCAGCAGTCTTGATGACAATTCATTCCTGGACAGAACATAATTTGAAATCACACATCTCCCTTCCTTTCCTTTGCTGGTTGAATAAAAACCACCTGGTACCCCATTCAGTAGTTGTTAAGTAAGGTCACCAGTCTTGCACAATCAAAGTTCATCTCTGACAAGTGTATGCATGTTTGAGTTGCACAAAGGCTAAACATCCACATATTTCAAATATTTGATGGCTTTGCGGGATTGTTGGTCAGTGTTCTTACAAATCTGTGATTCCCACAAAATACATAAAAAAATGACCTGGTACTGAGATATGGTACTGTACGTGTATACATGTTTTCTTTTGGGGGATAGTGCTACTGGGGGGGTACTATTTTGACACTTCTTTTTTCTTCCAATTTTGTAAATTATTTTTAATGGAGAGGGTTGACACACTGTTCTCAAAATTAAATTTAGAAAATGGTCGGACAAAATCAAGTTTCACTGATCTTTGCTGAATCTACAGTTATCAGTGTGTGTAGTTACCCGCGCATAATTTTGTATACTGAGACAACACTAACTTCAACAGCAGACCTTCATTCCTATTAAGTATGTAGGACATGTAGGTGTGTGGTCAGTGTACTCACTCTATTATTTTCCTGGTTGGGTAAATACAGGAAGTAATTGAAACTGATCAGGGGACAAAATTGAGAGGAATAAAAGCTGATTGATTTCCTCAACCACAGGACTCAGGACAGCTGCTTCAGTGTATTAGAACTCTCCTTTTCTCAAATCCTCCAGGTCCTGGTTTCATACATAATTTAAGCAAGGGTGTATACCTGGACACAGTCATTGCCATGTACATGCATCTTTGTGCTCCATGCTGTAAAGTTTCATCTGTGTTGTCCTTGGGGGAAAATAGACAGTATCAAGCAGTCATGCTTGGAATACCATGCACATGAACTGACATTAGCATGCTCCTGGCTAGGCTAAAATACAGTAGAATGTAAATGGTGTGTATTTGTGGACTGGTAAATTTTTACCACTTTTTGTGTATGAACCTCTACATTCACACCACCTGCAAATTAGTTTCACGTGATAGGTGGTTTTTAAAAAAAAAAAAATCAGCTTCATGTGTACTTGTATCTGGGCAGTGCCAAAATACATGCTTGTGAATGTACCATATGTACATGTACATCTACCGGTATGTTGAAATTTCAATTTGTTTAGAACAATTTGAAAACAAAAACACTGTTCCTTGTACAGTAGTTCCTGTGCATGCAAACCATAAATGTGACCCACTCTGTGAAAATGAGTCACAAGTCACCAGAGCCACTTTGGAGTAAAATGTCCTTCAGAATAATTTTGCACTGTGTAAATCAATGGGAACTCAAAGCGTTTTTCACCATGGAGTATCCACTTTCATCAGGATGCCAAATTGAGTGATTCATCAAAACAAAAACCTCAATTTGATCTTTCCAATACAAATGAAAACTCAAAAAGTAGCTCTGGCGATTTAAGACTCATTTTCACAGAGTGGGTCACAAATTCAACCAGACTATAGATTTTCAAAGCAAGTCAGGGTCCACAGTGAATTCACATTTGTCCAGGCAGTTTCTGAGAGAATTTTGGCATTTTGATTTGCACCTTTTGATTTACTGTTTCCTTTGGACTGCCAACCACTGTAGTTGTCTCTGGAGATCATTACCCTGGGGCAGTTTTCATTAAATCCTAATCAGCTTTGCTACCACACTGTCCTTGGTTGGGTTAGGTTTTCACACTCAATCATGTGATAGTTATACCCAGTAATGGATGAGATAATCAGGGAATGCAGGTGGAATACTAGTAAACTGGGCCTGCTTGTCTGTGTTGGCCACAAAGGGCAAGAATCGGTTGAGTGGGTCCAGTATTTACCAAGTTACAAATTTTGGAAAGCCATGGAGCAGTGAAGAAACTGTACAATGTTACTGCAAGTTTTTTTTTAATTCAAATTTTGTGGGTTTTTTTTCTCTGCTTTTTCCCCAGATGATGTACAAATATGGTTTCTGTATTCTGTTAATTTTGGTTTTGCAGATCGTGAAGATGAACTCATGTTTGGAGTTCTCAAGTAGTAAAATTAAGGAAGAGAGACAAGAATGTTTAAATTCATAATTGATTCAGTCGTGTACATGTTCATTTGCATACTCATACATATGCAAACAAAAAATGTGCCATGAGTAACAAACCTGTGGCGTCATAGAAAATTGGAAGCGTGAAAGACATGAAAATGGTTTGTTCTCTAAATTTTGACAAATCCCAAATTGGTTTGCGCGGATGCCAGAAGGCGTTGTTGCACCTGTCTGGTGTGCCATGTGGTACGTGGACATGTACATGGACAGGCAAGAATCACAGCTATTCAAATAGCCAGCCGTTTCAAATCGGAACTTCATTGATCAAGTTTTGCAACATATGCTGTGACATGGACTGCGGTATATCAATGTGTGACTAAAATATTGATTTGGGTGGATCTTTTGGAATTCTACAATGAAACATAATTCCCCAGTGCATGGTAATAATGAAATTGTATATTTGTCAATATAAAGATTTCATTTTGTTTGTTAAGTAAAAGCAGAAGCATAATTTACAAAATAATTGTAACACCCTGTTCTATTTCCAAAAAAAATAAGACATCCATTTTTGAGTTCTGTCTGTAAAAATTCTGTTTTGTAGCCTAATCAGAAAAATAATTTAGGCACTACATGTGCACGAATTTTAATTTCTGATAGACTTGTATGCAAAGATCTATTACCATCCTTGGTTTGCAAGTTGAGATTAATTGATGAACATTTATGAATTGAGGTGCATTGTTCAAGCTTCATTTGTAAATTTACAGGATGATTATGGGTAGTTATTTCACTGTATATCTTTGTTTGTTCAACTGGAACAATAGTTTTTGACATCGCATACATGTACGTGTATGTGCCACTGCCGTTTATGTAATTTTCTTCTCAGAAAATTTTTTTTTTATATAATGGGTTTTGCCCTTACCCAACGTGTATATTAATAAACACAAGCAAGCTCTTGGACAAGCACTGAGCATACCGTGTTTATTAATATGTACGTTGGGTAAGGGCAAAACCTGTTATATAAATTAACATCTCCCCAACGCAAAAATACATCTTGAAAAAAGAAAATGGTTTGTTATTCCAACTTGACCATGATGTTCACAAAATGTAACAGTTCTCTAAAATGTTCAGAATTCATGTATTTCTGTGTATCTCTCTGCACAGATGAAAATCTCCTTTAACGAGTCCAGCCTGAGTGAAACCTATGAGTACCAATCAGAAGAATCACTCCTGAATGAGTACCTGCGGAAGGAACGAGGTCTGAACGGTAACCCGCGCGTAGGTAACCTGCCCCGCCAAGAGGCAAGGGATGAGGAAGACGAGGAAGATGGCATTGAATCCTCTCCGGCTTCACAGAGCAGCATTGATAACGTCTTGGCGCATGAAGGTAAGACACTTGAACCATTCCTGATATCCGAAGACATGCCGTTGACGTCATTGCAGACAGCCAGCGCGTATCCCTTGCTCTCTGCCCGAATGGACAGAGGAAACCTTTTGTGATTTTTGTATGGCGAGATTGAATGAAGCAACTGATTAAAGTACTTTGTGCAGAAAGTTGGACAACCAAGTCAAAGAGTAGTTGTTTTTCATCCAACAACTTGAGTGGTGTGACGCAAGTTCACACTTTACAATTTATTTTCTCATGCCATCTACCGAAGGAAACCTAGTAAAATGACAAATTACATTTAAATGGTTTTATGGTGTGTCACGTCAGGACACATTACAAGCACTGTCTTTGCATTGATATTTCATGTGTTTGGATTGAACAGCACGATATTACTTGTAAACTGCATTTCAAAAAGAAGCATTTTTCAACAAATGAAAATTTACTCAAAATTTGTCAGGGCACATGTCAGCAAGGAAGATAAACCCCAAGTTGATTTAATGTGCCCTCAGTCCAGTGCTCCCAAGCGAGCAGTCTACATGTATCTTTTATTGTGGTGTCAGTCGCTATCAAGAAAGAAAGAATGCTGTACAAACCCTATGACAGCTCATTTTAATGTGATGGTGCATCCGTAAGGTTTGAAACCAATCAGAGAATGCATAATGTACACATACATTTGTGCAGTTGCCAATGAATTTTGAAGCCAATGTTATTGTAGCCCAAGGCTGTACCTGACATCAGGTCTTTATCAGTTGTTGGTTGGTTATCAATGCAACATCTGCCACTTGGAATTAAGTTTCTTATTTAGAAAAAAATCTGAGACTCTGTGGAGAAAGATGAGACAGACACTTTTCGCACACCTACAGGGTACTGTAGTTATAAGATTAAGATGACTGTAATTTTGTCATGGCTTATAGCTTAGAAGTCCATGCTTCATTGTAATTTCTTTAGCATTGGAATCGTGTATTTACATGTCTTCGTTGTTAAATGCAGTAATTCAATAACCCAATGGTGTAATTTGATAAGGATTTTTTTCTCAAAGCACATGGGATATTCAACTTTCCCCCTCAAATTGGACAGCTTGCAGGTGTTCAGACTCAGTGTTTCATTCACTATGTCTAAGTGCATGCCTTGACGTAGCACCTACATCATACTGAGCATGTTAAATCGATTTCCTGCAAAGCCTTTTGTCATCTATATGACACAAACCCTGATTTTTTTTTAATTTACATGTACAATGTGATGGTTGTTGGAGTGGAATTTTCAAAGCCTCTTCCCAGTGCTTTCCTTCACAATAGAGATATCATTTATCAATAAGTTATTAATCAGCTGTGTAGAGTAAAAACTTAACCAAACCTTTGTTTTCCAGCATTTCTGGACCCTCTCTTTTTCATCCCATCTTCACACAGCAAATTCATAACAGGCAGGAAATCCTAATGCTCACATACATGCAGCTTTAAAGTTGTACCCATCTGAAGCACATTTCACCACTCTTTCAAATTCGTCCCGTGCACTACATTCCTTTCACTTTAGAAGTTTCAGCAATGCTTCTGTGACGTTACCCACTCATGTGTTACAGCAACTGGTACATTTTTATTCATTGTGTCAGGTCTGCAGAGCTACACCCCTAAGGATCTACAGAACTTTACCCCAATGTCCATCCGCCAACAACAGCAGCAGCAGGAAGTAGCCAAGCCCCAGGAGGAAACACCGCCCTCGCCTGCTGAGGAACCAGACCCTGACGACATCGCCATCACCTACGATGACACGGGCGACTACTTCTCATCAGCCGGATCGAGCTCAGCTGCCCTTTTGTTCTGAAGTGAAAGGGTATAAATGAACATGAGCTCGGAGGACCAAACTAAGATGATCTGAGCTTGTTGATGGATCCCTTCTGCTAACCCTGGGGATGGCACCTGTCTTGGTAGAAGGCCTTTCTTTTTAGTGGTCAAAGATTGAAATTATGCAGACTGCCACCCCCCCCACCTGGTGTATATACATGTATTACCTTGAACAACAAAAAGGAGCTCCCCTAACTTACCCAGTTCTTCATAGCTTTAAGGTTCCAGCATTTTCACTTCAATGTTAATATTGATGTTTATAATGAATGACTTGGAGAACCATATCTTCGGATCGATCCTTACAGAGTCAAAATTACCGGTAATCCAACAGTTTTCCAACAGCTGTTTTGTTTGTTAATTATTACGTCGAGGATTTATAGAAATACCTACACGAAAAATGGTCGTCTTTTTTTTTTCTTTTTTTTTTTAACCAGTGTACACCGTGCTCGCATGTGCATACATGTGTCTGCATAGTATATTCTATACGCAGATGTCTTCGAATGATGAAGAAATACCCACGAAAGATAGTTGCAAATCAATTTTATTTTAATTTAGGTGTGTGTGTGTGTGAATTTGCCGAGTCAGGTGTGTACATAGTTGTGATTAACGTTAGTGAGAATAAATACCTTGAAATATATGATTATTTTTTTTCGTGGTAGCAGGTGGATACAGGTTTCCCAATGGCAGCCTTGACGTTTTTTTTACAGTGTAATTGTGGTATTAAACACCCCTTGGGACTTGCTTCTCACACACACATTCCTGCCAAACCTTTTCTGGAATATTCTGCATTTAGACATTTTTTATCACAGTCATGTTGCGTTCAAGTTCTTTTTTAGCAATGTTCACTATTGAGCATTAATTTATGTGTCGTACCGATAAAATGCAATGCATTTCTACTTAATTTCAAATGAACTATTTTTAACTCTTCTTAACACTGGATAGTTTTCTTCCATTTTTAGAAAACTGCAGATATCTGATTGACTAATGCTACCCGTAGTACCATGATCCATAGACATGAGGGCGTTTTACGGGACAGTACCAGCACAATTTAATTGGTAACTTAATTTGAATTGAGGTTTATTGTTGATTCCTGTACTTACAGTCAAACTGCTAATAGTTCATAGTTTCAGAGTCTCACTCTTAACTGCTTAATGATCAAGGTCAAAAGAGTTGACCTGATTGGGCATTTTGTCTAGTCTTGATTCAAGTCTGACTGCTGAGGTTTTGGACGTCACCTGCACAGCTAGTGTACTAGTGGTTTCTCTCTGATGCACATGTTATACTTACATTCTCTGAGGGTTTTTACAATCACACAACTCGTTGCCGACTACTGAGAAACTGCGCCAACTGAGTTGTCAGAGACGTGATATTTTATCACCCCCCAAAAAGGACTGTTTGGTTGCAAACAGCAGGTTTCCCTTTAAATGAGGATGCAAATGATTTACAATTTCCTTAAATTTTTACGAATTTGCAAAAGTAGTACTTCCATGAACAGGATCGTCGACATTGTTGGGAAAGTTTCCTCTTATTTTAATGCGACTTGAACACCCCCCCCAGTCCGATGCAGAACAGACAGTATGTGTGCATGAACGTGATGAAACATTATGTAATGATCACATTCATCAGGAGTGAGACCCAACTTTCAGATGTTGATCTGAACTCGGCATGGAGAATGTGTCTTTCAATCAGGGCTTTGTAATTTTGGTATTGTAAGAAATTGTTTAAATCATGCACGGTGTATTCCAAGGAGGGGTGTGCATCTGTGTTGCCATCAAGCTGCCACAAGCCCGTTCACAAATCCAATTTGCAAGTCCTTTCACAGACCAGTCAGGAGCAAACAGCGTGGGCAAGGAAAAGGGATACTTTTATTGCAGTTCATTTGAATAGCTTGTGACTTGACTTTCGACTGAGTGACTTGTGATGGACTTGCGGTGAAGTAATGGACTCAATAACACTGGTGTACGCAACTAATTTTTTCATCCCAATGCGCACAAATTTGTAGCATCTCATTGGCTGCAGGGCACAATGGCACTGAAGGTCCTTCATTTCCTCCTTAGTCACCATTGAGAATGTGCATGTGCAAGAAATCTTGTGATGTCAGTCTCGTTTTCTAATTCTTGGCATGGTTCTCTCATTATTATCTGGCCATATTGTTTTCTAGCATATCAAACTTTCACTTGAGAAGACCCATTCTATCTGATATAAAATTCCTAGATTGCAAATTAAAAGCAATAAAATTAGATGATCATGTTGTAAATGCAAGTGCCTAAATAGTCTGCATGTAAAAAAAAAAATTAGAGAAAAAGGAACTTAATACTCCCCCAGAAGAATTAGACAGAAGTAGAGATACTGCTCGCTTGAAATCAATGTAAATTGGCTCTCAGTAGGAAAGATGACAGAATTAATGGAAACATGTTGAAGAAAAAGAAGAAAAATTAGGGAGGCCTCTAAATTTGGACTGAAGACAATTTTCCATACTGTCCTTCAGAAAAAATCAAATTGTCTTAAATCAGATCGTCTGTTAGGAATCCTAACTCTTACAAGACCAACATATACATAATATGCAACCCGTCTACTAATTAACGATTGAATATGCAACATTTTAAGCTTTCAAATTTTTGCTATAAATGTGGAAGGGATACCATTTCATTATTTTGAGAAATAAGTGTGAAAAATAGCTGTCAATATTTGTAGCAGAGCACTGAAAATGTTACAAAAAATACTAACTCATCAGTTGATCAGTTCTGTTCATTACCGTTAAATAATTATGATATTTGTTTTGGGTTTTTTGTTTTGTTTGTGTGTTTCGGTGCAAATTATCAGTTCTCGTTTGTTAAAAAATGCAATGCATTTGTACATTCATCCTCTTGATATTTAGGAAACAAAGAATTGTATTTATCATGAACAAATCAAACCAGCTCAATAGAAGCATGTAACGTAAAAGGCTGGACAAATTCCTCATATCATTATTTTTTTCTTTCTTTCACTGACACAAACTTTCATTAATGACTTTTATTTATTCCCGATTTTTTTACAAGCATTCTACCTTTGGTGAGTTATTATTGGTTTGGTAATATGTATATATTTGTTTCTCTTTGCAAATCTGATTGGTCATTTGTAATCACATGGCTGTATATTCACTCAAAGATATATTTATATTACAGGATTTCGTTTTTGTAAAAGTTTCCGATTTGTAGATATTGAGGTTTAAATGTAAAAGTGTATTCTCAAAATCAAAATTGAATTTATTCAGCTGACAGATCTTTCCTTTTATTAGTGAAATCTTTACAAGTGATTTTTTAGTACTATGATTTTATTGTTTGTAAATGCATATCCGGACATTGGAGCTTTGTAAACAGAGCAAGTTTTTAGTTCAAAATGCACCATCTTGGATTGGAAAGAATGTTTGCAACAGTACCCATTGTATATCAACAGAAGTAGGATGTGCATGTTAGCACTACGTGACTCCAAGTTGTACCTCACCTGGCAGGCAGGTTTCATAGAACCCTCTGTGTGTAGCGCGTAAACCTGTTCACAATTCACCAGTTAAAAACCTGTGTCAGAGAGAGGCAGTCTCGCTTTGAACTAGTGACCCAAGTCATTTCCAATTGCAGCATCGTGTCTCTTTATTATAAGTGTGACCATGTGCAAGTTTGAAGAGGACAGTACAAACTGTGTTACCCAGAGGCTGCACAAATATTTCTGTAGATTTTGTGCCTACTGATAGAGCTGATGGCCTAAAATAAAGAGATGTTGCTTGTACGCGCCATCGCCAATGCTTGGCTTGTAAGTTACTGGGATCAGCATTACTAGAGGCAGAATTATGCTCTGGATTTGGCACCTGATGATACTGTTATATTTCATATAAATTCTGAATTCTGATGTTTGTTTACATTTCAGCATTTGAGGTTTGAACAGTCTTTGCACCTTAGTGGAAGCACAAATCTTTTATTATGATGGGCAAGAAATTTGACCCTATTTATGTATTATCGTTCAGAAACAATCTGGTGTGAGACAGGATTTTGATAAAAGCACGCTCTGGCCAACAAGACAGAACAGCTGTAGTTTTTTATTGCCCTCAAAATGCATATCTTGACCAAAATATTGGAGGCCATGTGCATTAAGGTGATTTTTAGAAATGCCTAGTTTTTAACTGAAGCAACATGTTAATGTGGAATGGAAGTATACTAAATTCTGGTTTAATGTGTATGTTGTATAAATAACATGTAGAATAAAAAATGGTGACACCAATCTCTCTTTTCTGTGTCATATTATAGCAAAATTTTACAAGCCCCCTTGTGAGAAGCACCCTCCCCATGGGCAAAAATCAGACACATCAAAATTATCTATTCTTCTGGTATACCCCTAGCTGGTACCCTGGCAATTTCAATGGAAGTTGCAATTCCTCCCGCCCCTGGTGCACATTTGGCAGGTCCTATAATGGGGTGAGGCTTAAAGGATAGGCATATTATTGGCTTATACCTGATGGTTATGTAACACCCCTCCCACTTCGAAAGTCATTGCATTGCTGTTGTATCCCCCCCCAAAAAAGTTTGCGACAGGGCTGAGGGGGAAGAGGTGAGTGAAAGATGTCGGGACGTTTTTATTAGGGGAAGCCTGTGATTGGTGGATGGTTTGGATAGGGGTGTTTATTTTTTTAGTGGCCATCCACATTTACGGAAATTACGAGTGTGCAAACCATACACTGGGGGTAGGATCCAAGAAAAGTTTCATTAAAAAAAATTAAAATGATACGAAGCATCCACAAATTGCCATTTTAACTAGAGGGGAAGTTTAAAGAGGGTATTTACAGGGCACTCGTGAAAGTGGTGAATAAAAAGGGATGACTTTTTTCTTTTCTTTTTTGGTATTGTCATTTATCATCCTCCCAAAATTGCAAACTCTTTAGGCTGTGCAAGGTCTAAGAATTAAAGGAAGGGGAAAACACTTGCATACATTTCAAAAGTCTCGGAGCTTTACCCTTTAGGCCTACGTGAAATGAGCGTTGTAGTCCGAATACTTTGCGGTTTTGCCCCCTGCAAGGCTTTTAGTGCTACTTGTAACTTGAAATAACGCCCTCTGCTGACTCCCCTTGAAATAAATTTGAATTTGTTTGCCTTCAATGAATTTAAAGTAACACCAAGGTCCAAATCAAACCAGTTTTCTATCATTCTATATCGATAAGAGGAGAGAATGCTGCGCTAAGAAAAGTGCAACTTCCTTCCGGACGAAACGAAGGCAGTGCTCTGAGGGCGCTCTCTTCTCGTAGTTTTTTTTCAAACAAAACCGACTTGCCTTCATGTACATGAACATGTAGCTAAATGTCGCCCTCTACTGAGACTCAGGTCAAATCCAGGGAGTAAAAAAAAAAAAAAACAAAAGAGAAAAACAGTTGATTTCAAATGAAAATTGCACGGAATGAATTCTAAATGTGTACAGATAAAAAGATATCGGCGAAGGAGTTTAGCCCTTCGCTGATTCTCAATTACCACCATTAATTAAGAGATCACATTTTGTCTTGGAATGAAAAGAGGGATATTCTGAAAAAAAATAATAACATAAACAGCGTAACAAAAATTATTTATATGATTTGTTTCAGTAACAGTTATTGGAAAAATATTCTTTACAACTGAGCAGAAGGAAATATAATTAGTACATGGCTTTGATCAGTTTTTGTATATCTATACATTAACAATTAATTTCAGAACGCACTAAAGCATTAACAAGTAAACAAGAAAAAAAACAAAACTATTTTTGCCATCAACATTTGAAAAAGAAAATTAAAAGGAGATATTTATTCTAATTTTAAAATTAAATAAAGTTGGCGATGCAAATTTGCAAAATTTCGAACACGTACTGCACTGACACGCTCCTTTAAGAATATTTCGGGGTCGTAGCATGGTCAGCGAGTGACGTCATACATATCGGGTCACTGTTCTGTACCCGTTTTCGTTTTTGTGCACATACAAAATACGAACGGCCATAGAGTTCATGCACACGAGCGTGCTCGCTGACGGGGGAATTGTCGAATTGCCGTGCCGATTTGACCAACCGACTTCGGCGTTTTCCAGTAGGGCAAAACTAACAGGTCCACCTCTGACTTGACAAACGTTAACCTCTGGACACTCTGGTGGTGAAGTGGTGTGCATGTGTGCCGGTGAAAGTAGGTCAACGTATCGCTTTTAGCTCAGGAGTGGATGAGGTGAGCATGGTGAGATTAACGTTGCTTCTGTATTTTTTTTTTCCGAGGTTGTCTCTTTGGACAGTTCATGGTCATGATGGTCAGCAGTCAGTGTGACATACCGAACGCCCAGCAGCATGTATCTAGTTGTGTAGGTTGCACGCTGTTGTGTTGACTTAGGCTAGTTGGACATTCTGCAGAGGCGGATGGGGGGAGGGGCAACTGGGCTTATCCCTCCCCCAAAACCAGGAAACAGAGCCTTAAAAATTAAATAGACCTAAGCCTGAAGAAATAGGCTAAGTAAAAATAGGCCCTAGGCCTAGTTAGAAAAAAAGAGATTTTTTGCCTGTTTCGTTTCCCTTCCATATGCAGTGACTGTCTGCATCTTAATTTTGTGAAAAACCCCGAAATGTAGGCCTAGGCCTAGTCTCACCCCTCAAATGTAAAAAAAAAAGTCATGGAAAGGTTGCATGAAAAATTCCCAAATTTTTCCCCTTATCCCCTTCAATCCCCCCAAAAAAGATAAGTTTGGCTCTAAACATTTAGTTTTGCATCTGCCCACGGAGGAAGTTTGTGTCCTTCCTCCATGATCTGCCCTTGCATATTTGTTGAAGCTCATTTTTTTGTTCATGCATTGGTCCACTTCTGTTTCAAGAGAAGATTAAGGATTAAGCCTAACTGGTCACATGACCAAGCATTACCCATCGACCATGTGGCGTTTTGTTGATTGTGTTGTAAGGCATGCCCAGTGAACATTTGGTGGAAACATGAATTAGCAATTAGCCTGTTGGACTGTTGACCTTATCCATAATATGTGCATGAAGCTCAGCCAGGTGATCGTTAGTTAGTGCACAAACATTCTTGTCGTTTTCTCCAGTATGTAGAAAGGTCAGGATCAGTATGAAAGGAAAGTACAGAACATATATGTCATGTTTCAATATGGTCATTCACACATTCTCAAGGGTACAATAATAATATCCCTATATGAGACGGAAATGATTACGATGTTTCTTTGGGCGTGATGATATGCTATGTATCAGGCACTTTTTGAAAACACACCTGATGATCTCGGTTTTCTCACTCTGCCACGGTACAAAAGTTTGCCCCGCTAAAGTGAAATTCTAGTTGCAACGTAGATATTCAGCATTATCCAAAAAATTTAGCATTTGCTAAAAACAAAGACAATGCAAGTCGCACACAGTAATTGAAGAAAGGCAAAGCACTAACATGTAGCTATTTGACAATTAAACCATAAAAAACTGTGTGTAAGCGCCAAGAAAATTGCCAATAATGCAGCACAGAGGCAACAAATTTTAAGCCGGTATAAAGGATTTGGTATATTGATAATCGGAGATGATGTCATATTATACATCACGGTACATGTAGCTGTCTTCAGCCAATCAAAAACTTGGAAACCAAGGGTATTGATCATTGGTATTTCTACCTCAATTGTATGACGTCGCGTAATGAGGGGCACTGTTCACTTTTGTCTTATTGGTACATATATTTACATGTGGTTGATATCCATGAAATCTGACATTAACGTTTGATGTGGGTCATTTCAAATCAATTTTGCTACCCCTAATTTTGGATGCCAATCCTACATTTTTGTTTTACTCAGTTTTTCAAATTTTTTAAGGTGTAAAAAATGTGAGGAAACAATTAGAGCCATAAAGGAACGTTGGGGCTCCTATTCCTCTGTGGTTTATTAATGAGAGTTCTATGTCCAGCCACCACAATTCTCGTGTATAAACCACTTTATCTCAGACAATTTCAGTATTTGCCAACCTGGATTCTCTTGTTTTCCACAACTCTTATTCAACTAATGGATGGCTCTTCGGGAATTGTTGTGTGGGAGAAAAGTAGGCTATTTCTGGATGGCCTTTTTTTGGGCAAATTAAATTGTGCTTCACTCCTTAGGAATGACAATTACACAACTGCGACCGGCTCTGTCATACGGGTATTCTTGTAAGTTGATAAACTTTTGCAGCTTTTGGCTAATTATGTCAGCAAAAGGTCCTATAGTGTCTTTGTTTAAACCTAAAACCCAGTTGTAAATATGTAGAACCTACATTTACATAAGTAGATACACTCACCGTATATTTTTCTTGATATTAACAATATACATGTACATGAGGCCGGATCCAGACCCCAATTTTGTTTAGGGGGGGGACCAAACCTTGTAAGCAGGTGCACTTTTGCATTAACTGATCCAACCGGTCACAATTAAGCAGCTGCTCAGAAACAATTTCCTGAACAAAATGGCTCAGTCCGTACAAAAAACCCTCCATGAAGACACTTAATATGTTCACTCTGTTTGATTTAAAACATAAAAACCCCATTGTGTTTTTTGTTGGGGGGAGGCATGGTCCCTGTTGGCTCGCATTCATCCTTGTGTGCATTGTGACAATATGACATTGAATATTTTCCTTACACAATGTTCTCTATTCTTTGAGTAGCTGTCAAAATTTGTTATACAGGATAGGGTTAGAAATGTCATGGAAATAGGATAAAGATATGTAGTTCCAGTTTAAAAAGGAAAAATAGTGGTTTCTTTTTCAAAGTGGTGATTTTGAAGTGGCAATTTCAGTTGGTTGACTAATCTTTAGATTATCTCGGGTGCTTGAAGAAAATGTAAAATTCCACATTTCAGTGGTATTTTTGCCTATCTATATTAAACAATATTAAGGCCACCCGAAACGCTCTCAACATGATAAAAACCAGATTTCAGCTCCATTTCTTTGCTCAAGTTTGTGTACTTACATTTGACTCGTTAATAAACATTTTTTTGTCCATTTTGTGTGAGAGCCTCAGTTTTGCAAACTGCAAATGAAGGGGGGTAACGATGAATGTATTCAAGATGGAAATAGCACAGCTGGCTCAGACTGTGGAAGGATAGTACCACCTCAGTGAGTAATGTCAACATGCATACAAGTCAGCCTTCCTTAGTTCCTGATGCAGGCAGTGCCTATGTCTTGTGGTTTGGTAAACCAATGGAGGTCAGAGAGTGTTGGAATTTTTATGTTTCTGTTTTTGATTTTAGATCTTTAAAGGTGTAGTGTGCATAAGTTGCACTTTCTGATACTGTTAGATAATATGCATAGGAGCAGTCCATATACATGTTTGTTTTTGTTGTTCCAAGGTGGATTTACAGCATAGACAATGAAGTATTCACACACAAACAAACTAAGAAAAAAAAGAAACTTATTTTGAATTCCATTATTCGGTTATTTTATTTTTTTTTATACTTTTCGAAGTGTAATGTAACATGTACATGTAATTCCCTGCAAGCTGCAAGTTGACAGACTTTTAACGTGCAAAAAAGTCTTGTCGAGTCACCTCGTGAGTCATTATACATTGTAATTCAGCCAGAAATTACCCCGTTTGTTTATATAATTTGTACACAGGTAGTTTTGTCTGGATGTGCTGCATATTGTATATGCTTGTACATGTAGATGAGACCAGCTGACAATGCATAGACTCCACTTGGCTCTGGTATAGCTCTACCTCAAGAAGGCTTGACACCAACTGCATGTTCGCTCCTACTTAATCTGGCCCTCTGTGGGGAGAATGTGGTCCCAGGTGCCCTGTGGATGATTTCTGCCAGTCAGAAAGCTAGGACAGCAGAAGCCGGCATATATGGTAACCATGGTAACTCTGAGGAGTAGGAAAAAAAAAAACTGAGTGAGGGATTTGCATCGCTGAAGGACTCTCCACAGGTTGTGATCCCAGCAAGCTTTATTTGAGATAGCAGTGTGCTGATGCGAGAATCTTATCTATGATCGTGAACTACATGCACCGAATGCATCCAGTCTCAGGAATGGCTGTTCTTCACCAAATGGCAACTTTCAGCTTACTGATGACCACCCTTGCCAGCGTTATCTTGGGTGAGTACTGAAACCAGCCAGTACACTATTCCACTTTGCCTTTCTTCTTGTTTGTCTCTTCTACCCGTAATCACTTGTCTTGATGTAAATGGAGCTCACCATTCACTGCAGACTGTGGTACTGGAACAGTTCTGGTACTCTTAAAATGGGTGAGACTTGAGAGACCAAACAATGAGGTAAGTATCGCTACATGTGCAGTGTACATGTCATTCATTTCTTTATGTAATAATAATAATAACAACACAATTCTTATATAGCGCATCACATAGCACATCTCGATGCGCTTCACAGTAATATTATGAAATAAAGCAAATAATGAAACAGGTGAGTTTTAAGTAGTGATTTAAATTCGTTTTCATTTTTGACAGTTCTGATATGGTGTAGGAGAGAGTTCCACAGTGATGGTGATGCATACTTGAATGAATGATATCCATAAGTCTTAGTGCGAGTGACAGGTGTACTGAGCAGCAATGTTGAACTAGAACGGAGGGTGCGTTGTGGCTCGTATACTTGAATACTTGAATGTACAATGACAACGTGGGCTCTGCATATCGTAGAAAATAATGAAATCATTACAATTTTTCTAGCAGCAAGGTTTTTTTATTGTTTGTTTGTTGGGGTGTTGGGGTTGTTTGTTTGTTTGTTTGTTTGTTTTTTGTTTGTTGGGGTGTTGTTTTTTTTTTTTCCTAGGATACAAAGTAAAGCTTTTCCCCATATGCATATACATATATTTTGAAAGGCCTTGCCCCACATGTTGTCATGTCATAATTGTTAATGGTAGGGACTAACAATTCCAGTAGGTAAACTCTTGGAGATTTCTTTGTCCGAGGAAAAAGAAGGCAGTCTATTTGTGGTGTGCTGGGGACAATAGAAAGTTCTTCCAAGGTTGTTAGGGGTTGTGTGTTTGTATCACACCAGCACTACATGTACATGTAACATATTAGATAAGATATGCTCCATGTACTGGTACATAAGATATGTATGATAAGATGCAAGATAAGATATTCTCCATGTTGGCACGCTATTACATTTTTAAGTCACTGTATTTTCATCCATGACCCGCGTGACGTGAATGCGGTATTTTTACATTAGCAGGAGGATACTAGTAATTCCAGAAATTAGGGGTCCATCTTATTTTATGTCCCTGTCACATCTGACATATGATTTTGTAAGTTCAGAATAAATTTTTCTAATTTCCAAGAGTGATGAATTCATGCAAATTACATGTACCTTCCAAACAAATAGTAATAGTTTGAAATCAATTCCGGTGATATTTCCATGTCAAATAACAAGGGTCGGATGTAACAGGGACACAAAAATGTCGCACTTTTGGACCTCTAATTTCTGGAATTACCCAGGAGCAAACTTGCCATTTTGACAGATTCTGCCTTTGCAGATATTAGTAATTGTAGTCCATCATTTGATTTACGTGTGCAGGATAACACAATCAGTGCTTAGGGTTTCTGTGTCGCCCTTGGAGATGATCATCAATTTCTGGCGGAAATGTTGATTTGAGGCCTTCCATCGAAACAGCGCTGTGTTTTCGTTCAGATCAATTTTGGATGGTTGTTGTTACCAGTAGCTGCCAGTCCTGCGCTTAATAGATGTCTGATTTGAGTTTGCATGTACATGTAGTTCAAGGTGTGCTCGGTACAGCCAACTGCTCTGAAATCTGTTCACAAAATCTGCAATTAGTTCCTCATTTGTGCATTGCCATAGCCCCCTACCAGATGTTGCTGTACCAAGTATCAAGACAGCTAGCATACAGGAGTAGTCATCTCACGTGATGTTGAGAAAGTACTGGGATAGGACATGGTAACCAAATTTCCAAACGTACATGTTACATCAGTTTATGTTACACAAGTGCCCCGTGTACATACTGTACATATTCATGAGTACAGTGTTAATGTTTCATTCAAGGATTGGATATACACAAAAGTACCTGGACTTTTACTGGGATACATTGTATGTGCATACATGTACATGTACGTGTAGTCGTGTACAGAGATGGACACGTACATGTGTACATGTATGTTGTCGACATGGGTCTTTCAAATCTTGTCATCATTGTGTGATTGTAATCTAGTAGCTGAAGGTCCAGGGCTCAGGGGCCTTCTTCCAGCATGGCCTCTAGCTATCAATCATTTAGCGGGAAGTACCCACACGTGATTATTTCCTGAACTTAAACCTCTGACTGGGTGTGATGTTCAGGGCTGGCCTACATCTCTTCTGAAATTGATATACATGTGAGTAGTGCAGTGCACTTAAATAAAAGTGCACTTAGTGAATCAGATCGGTAATTTTAAAAAGTAAGGTCATTGGGGAACAAAGCATGCCCTGTGAGTGTACATACATGTTGGGCAGTGTTGATTGGGTAGACCTCATGCATGTACATGTACGTGTGTCCGAATGACCTCAGACAACTCCTCATTTTTAAACATGTGCTGTTGCCTGTTGGCATTCCGCACTGGCTCATTCCACGTGAACACAAATGTATGCGTGTGCTGACATTTCAAGTTCAGAGGTGTGGAAAACATGAAAACTGAGCGTCGATTTTCAACCTGCTCGAATTTTTGTCTTTTACACTGTGCTAAAGGAAGTCAAGCTTACGATGAAAGGCATAAACATGGCAGTTAATGAAGTTCATTGAGCTACATGGACGTGTAGTCTGTAAAGTTGGTCAAGTCCATCTTGTCCTACTTTTGTGGAAAAGTGGTGAGATTCCAAAAAACAGGAAAAGAAACTGCAGATGATCCATAGGAAGATCAAGATTTTGAGCATTTCCATTTCCTGTTGCATAGCCGTTCATAAGAGCTTTAAACAAGCCATGGCTACACGACTGAAAGTTTGAGCAAAGCCCCCTTGAATAACTTTAAAACATCCCTGCCACATCTTCTCTACTTTTTCCTTCACATTTGACAAAAATCGCACGGCGTTTTTGAGATGTGAGAATGACATCTCCATACCCTTCCCCTTGAGTCCTGCATGAGATTTTGGACTGAGTCGCAAGGTTGATCAGACAGTAGGCCTACTGGTAACCTCACTTGCCTGTGCACCCTCAGACACTCCGGCGCCAGAATAACTTAAATGCCCATGCCTCGCCTAGAAACGGGGGCATTTTGGAGAATTGCTAAGCAAACACAAAATGCATCTTAAAATTCTTTTCACGTCCTCGTTGTTTAAATGTGCGTATACAGTGGCGTCATTTTGCATCAAGCAATTTGAGCGTGGTCAAGATTTGACTCTGGATTTTGTGTGTTTCCAAGAATAAAGGCAATAAAACATGTTTGCATTGATATGCCACACGCTTGCACCTGTCAAAAAGAATTATCCACGGGCAACTTTTTGTATACATGTATTTTTTTGCATGCATTTATTTCCACTTTCATTATTCACTAATTTAATGCCTTGTATTTTCACGTCAAGGTAATCACTGATTGCTTCTCTGCAAATGCAGTCCTTTATATAGGTTCCACTTTTCTGCACACCCTGGCAGACAGGTTACTCGAGGTTACTCGGAAATGTCATTTTTGCATTCTCCCTCTTTTTGACTGACATAAAGTACTGTAGGAGACAGAATGTGCATTTTACAAATATCAACGTTTGGAAGGTGGAATTATTAAATGACATTGTCAGATACCGAAGTTGTCTTAATTAACAGTGTCTGAAATGATAATTTGAATTGGAACTTATTGCCAGTCAGATTTTTTTTTCAATCAGAGAGACATACTTTAAAAATGCCACAAACTGTTTTATAACAATTGGTATGACCTGAAATGTACAGTACACTGTACATGAACCGGTACATGTACATATTGTGAATTTTGTGCAGGTGATTGACTCTGACTCTGAGAAAGGTTCTACCACAGGTGCAAATGGAAATTATTTCAAGCCTTCAAACTCGAGTTGAAAAAACTGGCAGATATGCATTGTACAACCGTATACATGTGCATGTACAGGAAAATAGCCGCTACGAATGCAGGTTTTGTGTTCCATGCAGACTTTTGTCAAGGTAAAATCTTTTGATGTTCTATTTTAAATTTGGGGGAGGGGGAAAAAAGATTAATGAAAAGAGTTGCAGCGCGTATTATTCAACTGGGCATTTACTACATGTACTCATTTTCATTATTAAGCAAATTTCTGGTGACAAAACCAAGAATTTCTCAAAAGTGCCCAATGCGGTGGCACGCACTATACTGTACATGTAGCTCACAAGCCTGAAGAAACTTGTAGAGGGGAGACAGTTTGAAGCAGTTACAGTTTTAGACGTGGGAGAAAAATCCCAGAAGAATATGCGGAATGAAACCCACAGAACCATGTAGGGACTAAAACTCCAATATGCATGCAGACTGAGCCGGGAATCAAATTGGGGTTATATTCCAGTAAATATAGATTTCGAATTGGAAATGTCACAGCCCACAAGCAAAAATGCTGCAGCCCCTTTAAAAACTGAAATCCATTGTGCTCTCAATATGGCTCAGGAAATGGTTGTCATCATCATTGGGAGTCATTACTTGTAAGTGTTTCCGGCGTCCGTTAATAATTCAGAGACAGGCGTAGTTCATGTAAAATATTCAGTTCATTTCAAATGTATTCAATAATTTATTTGTGAACGGTGCTTTATAACAGTGGCACCTGTCCTTTTTTCCCCCATGTTATGAGTACATTCCATTGTATATGATCTTTTTTACTTTTGGATCATTTCTGAATTTGAGAGGCATTTACATACATGTATCTAATTCCGTTTATTTCCAGCCATTCTCTTTAGATAATGAACCATTTTTAGACACCGTGATGGATTGTTACTAGATTGAGAAGAATGATAGTTGCTGGCAGAACCCCAAAAGGCTGATTGCTCAAGTGGAAATGTTTTTTTCCTTTTACAATTTCGTAACGCAAACATTTTTTTGGTCTCTTGTTCATTTTTGCTTTCAAATGAAGTACCATGTGAACCGGCCTTCAGATTGTATACATGTACATGTACTGGTACCTCATGGGTTGACATTGTCAATATTATTTTTACATAGGGGCCCCCAAGACTTCCTGTGAAATACTGTATTGGTGCTTTTCTGGTTTGAAATGCTGTGTGTGCACCTACATGTAGCACGTACAGTATATGAATGGTTACATTGTGATCCAATTTCCTGGCGTGAAACTTGTTGGAACCATTTACATATGTTCATGTATGTACGTACGACACGGCCCTATGCCTATGGCAACAGCGTGCAAAGAGCGAATTGACAGGGATGCAAGTTGAAATTTCAGGCTTTCAAAATTTTTGGCCTTAAAACCGGGCGTCTAAATTTGTGTAATCTGTTGCTGTACATGTATGTAATATGTGAGGCCAAAATGTCAAAGCCCAATCCCCCAGCTTATGGTAGGCACATGTACCGATTCATGTACACTGTACTGCTACATTGACATGCACTTGCCCACAAATAGCCTTGCTTCAACATCTTCTTCAACAACTCATACCAATGTACATGTACCAAATACCAATCCATAATTATAGGTTCATTGTACCCTGTAGTTTACATCTAACATCCAACATCCAACAACCAGCCTGCCAAATTATTTCGGGAAAATGAAATGACCTACACTCTGAATTTAAAAGACGGCAATAGTGCGACAGCCTGCGAATTTGGTTGCACTGGGCTGTACTGTAGTGTTTTGTTGTGGCAATGGAACATTAATTGTGTGTGCCATAAAATTGCCACATCTCACTGATAGATTTTGAATATTTATAAGTACCACCATGACATTCACAGAGAGTAATTTTTTTTTTACGATGTAGATTCTTAACTAAAACTATATTTTTGAGCTTAAATTTTTTTTGATTTTGTAAACTGTTTAAATTTTCTGTGTTTTAATCCTGCAAAATATATAAATGAAATGAAAATAAATGAATGACATAAGAGTAACAAATAGTGGTTTGTTACTTCCTGTGTCACAATACTATAAGTTGTACTGTCCATGTCAAAGGGAGAATGTTCAACTGATTTTGAGTGCTCAAACTAATGGGACTGTTGTAATCTAGGGTCAGGGATTTACGTGTAGAGATGTATGTACATGTATACCGACGCACAGGAATGAGTTTCTGCCCATCAACACAGCCCCATGACTTTGCACACTGTGTATATTTACACATATACCTGACAGGAAAATCGCAAACCGCATAGCTGGGTTCTTGGCCAGTTGCCAAGGGTATGGGTACCCCTATCTTTTGTAGTTTGCCATGAATGTGGATTTGTGTATGCTGCCTCAAGAGGCGCCACCCACGCATGGACATGTATGGCGCGCCTCTTCTGCACATATTCCTTTGCTTGCGACTCAGGCAAACTGTTTTCTTACAGTCCGTGAAAAACATTTCAGTTGTCATCAAAAGTGGTTTCTCTGAGATTCAGCACGGAGTTGAGTTCAAATCTTGGTAAAAGATGACAAAAATAACTAGTGCGATAACTTTGTAGTCTTAGGAAACTCCTTTTACTCTTGAACATTGAAACGTAAAGTTGTTTCAGATGGATGGGATACAGAGCCTGAAATTACACCCCAAAAGCGGTCATACAAAATGTTCTGTGTCACAACACGATCAATTCACCTGAACAGACAGTACAGTAGCTTGTATATACCAAGGTCACGTGGGATCACACTATCAAGTACAAAAACTGAGCTAAAAAACACCCATTTGCCTCTGGGACTGTAACCTTGACATTTCTTCTGGCATTTTGTCTGCTTTTGGCTGGAAACATGCTACTTGTAAAGGATGTCAGAAGTGTCTGTAATTCCACACTTTGGGAGATGTTGCGGCTCTACCTCTTTATTTTGGATGAAATTTGACAAATAAGATTTGCACAAGAAAAGAATAGGCCAAATAACATCATAGAGTGTCAAAAATCCCTTGACTTTCATAACAAACTTAATAGGCTTTCAGTTTTGGCAGGGCAAAATGCAAGCACATGTACAGTACAGCTCTTTGTTGGCCATCACACATCTAGGCAAAAGCAAGATTTCAGGTGTACATGCACTATGTATGTATTTATTGTTGAGAAGCAGTGGTGGGTGGAAAATCCAAGTTCAAAGTTTTGAAAGAAAGTTTTGACAGGCATTGGCCAACCATATTTTTACCCTTGCTTGACCTAGAAACATACATAATTGGTTGGTTATGTTGATGCTGTTCAGAACTCCCCGGTACATGTACATGTATGTACATGTATGTGTTCGGTCTTATGCCCTGTACATATGTACATGTACATTATACACCCCGACTGTGGGTAACCAAGCTGTGGCAACTGTTGTGGCCACAAAGACAAAACACTTTGTTTGTGAATGGGATAAGCCATTTTAATGCACAGCCTTTTTTCGTTTTGCACTCCACTTCGGAACACACAACACAAACTACTGTACATGTACCTACACTTAGCAGGTACAAGGTACATTGGGTTATAATACAATCATCGTCAGCTATTAGTCAACATTTAGACTTTGATATGAAGCTGCTCTCAAAGCTTATTTTGTGTTAAGTAAAAGGTGGCAGCGAGCCTGAATCGAAACCACTATGAGAAACACGACAGTTTTCTGAGAAGCATACAGAGGGCTATTTTTGGTTGGAGCCTGACACCATACTCCTAGGTCTATGCTGGCTGAGACCTACATGTATTTGTGTGGACCACCAACCAAGGTGTACCCACAGAGAAATTGGGACATAGTTGTTGTTGCCTTCGATGTTATTCAATAAATGCGCAAAAAAGACAGGAAATGAAACCTTTGTGAAAAAAGGAGCCGTTCTGTTGGTTCTGTTTTGTGGGATTTTATGTATTTTGAGTAGGTCAGGGACAGTGGGCAAATTCGTAAATATAGGGATTGATAATGTGTAAAAATGGTAGCCGGCAAAGGAATTCCAGTTGATTGTTATTTCAGTGCTAAATTGAACCATAGAGCTAGGAACAAATTGAACTTTTCAATGGCCATTTTTTTAAACCCATTTCTTTCAGCTTTATCAATAGGCAGAGTGATTTGGAGCATTTTTTTTTTAAATTTGGCTCCAGAGTAATGCAAGACAGTATGGAGGTGTAGGCCTACATGTTCATGTGCCAGTTTGTGTACATGTTTGGTTTCCTTAATTACATTTGTAATTAGCGTGTCTGTGGTGAACGTGTGATGAATTCTTAGCAGTCACAGAATTGAAGGAAAACAACAGACAGGGATTGAATGCTGCCGTATGTCTATTCAGACTATCCATCAGCTGTGCTGTTTGTATGTATTACAATATATGTACATTGTACATGTAACAACAAAATGTCACGCAGCTCAATTCCATATCACAATTTGATCTGTTTGTGCAGTGTACGTGTACTAGTTGGTAGCACATTACTAAAAACACAAAAGGCAATCATATTAGAAACGGCGTAAAAGGAAAATCTTCGTAAGAAATCTGGTTGTTTCCTGTGATCTTTTTCCTGATATTTCTTTTCATTTTGAGTCTCATTTCACATTGCAGTTCCTATACTAATCTACCGGTGATTTGTTTGTTTATCTGTGTTTTATCTGTGAATAGATCCAAAAGAATGTCGTTAAAAAGATGAATCGTCCTAAACATGTGTAATGTGAACACGATTTGGCGATATTGAGTGGGCCTTGACCATGGTATAAGTACCACGCAGCAACTCACTTCCAGCAAGCAGAAGGCAGATACATATACGTTGTAATAATGCCTGTCACGATTTACAACTGAAGCTGAGTTGCACATGACCTTTCAATCTCGTTCAAGAAAAACAAACATTAATTACTGTTGTATGTCTTTTTGGACAGTTTGTAAACAAATCCAGATGTTATTACTTTACATATTTCAGCTACCCCTTTGGGTCTTCATGCATTTTTGTAGTGTGTACATTTTTATGATATGTGGAATTCGTATATCATCAGTACACAGTTACATTTTTACAGTTTATAAACACAGATACTGTGAGCGTTTCTAACCCCGGAAATAATTTATGGGTTGTCCCAGGCACCAGGATATGACTTTTTTGTCAGTATTTAAGGTTTGTGACGATTGTCCTCTGATGAGTCAGTCCACCAAAATCTCTGGAGAGGAAAGATGGAAAATTTTTGAATAACACTCTTTGATCAGAAAGTTTATTTTTGAGGAGGCCCAATTCCAGAGCGGTAATTGACAAAGGTCATTAAAAATGTTCACTCTTCTAATTTTTGCTTGAAACTGGTTAGTATGCATACAGGTTTACAAACATGTACAAAATGCACCTGTTGAAAGTTGTGGGTAAAATCGTAAGTTACATGTACGTGTAAAATACACGTGATGCTTGATGTACATGTAACATTCTTACAAGGCCCCCAATAAGCTCTGACTTCAGATTTTCCTACCGACCCTAACTTTTCGACATGACCCTAAAGTTTTTATCAGCAAGTTAGGAAAAATAAATTAAAAAAATTTTTTTAATGAAAAAAATCCTGTTTTCTTTTCTGTCTTCATTGTGCTTACACTACACTGTACATTCACGCAGCTCTGCAACTGCACGTCATAAAAAACATGGATGTTGCAAGATTTTTTCCACACGTTACCGGTAATTTGCAGAACTTGATCTCTTGTCATTTTGTGTGTTCATGAATTTAATATGAGGTTGTATTGCACGTACAGTACTTGAAGCAAGCATGTTTCCACAAAATTTTCTACTGCGGTACGAGTTGATCGCCCACTCCTTTGATGCATCACGCACGCTTACCACACGATATACGGACATTGTTTGTCAGTTTCCTGTTGTGATTACCTTACCAGCATTGTGTATAGTGGTGTGATTGTCCATAATTCTTAAGAATTGTCGACTGTAAATATGTTTACGTTGATTAAGGCAAGTTTTGTCACTTTTTATAAATGTAAACATTTTTTACTCAAATAAATGGTGAAAGTGCTAACTACTTGGTAAAGGCGATAGTTGCATGGCAGTTGAAGTGTTGAACATGTTGATGTGTTCACTTTTACATTTCATTGAACATGTTGATGTGTTCACTTTTACATTTCATTTGTTTGAAACCTTCTTGGTATTACAGTAAAATCTTGATAAGTCGAAGCCTGTTAAGTCGAAACTCTGTTTACCTCGACGTCTTTCTGTTTTCCCGACAAAAGAATAGGCCTTTATGTACAATAAACTATCCGTAACTCAAAACGTCAATACCACTAAAGCCGCTTATCTCAAAGTTTTGGTAGGCCAATTAAAACAAAAAACACTGAAGAATGATGAATAAAAAGTGAGGAAAGAACGCTTGCCTTCATTATGAGACATTACTGTCACGCGCACGGCTTTTTCTCTGATGAGCCGAGCACGTTCACACGGGCTGCCATTGTCACGTCGACAAGCACTGGGTGGGCATCAACCACAACCATAAAGGCCGTGTCTGAAACGGGCTTCCAGAGCTACGGCTAGGTCTATTGTCTGGGCGTCTCTATGCATTTCCAATGGAGTGAATACCAAGACCTAGCTCTAGACAAGAGATTCGGATGCAGCTCAGGCACGAATGATGTGCCCTCAAGTGCTGTGTACATGTATCACGTGACCCAGCACGGAAACCCTGACCGACTGGCCCGCGCGCTGCGTTATGCGGTAACAGCCCGATCAAGCAAAGCAAATGAATGAATTCTCAAGACGTAGACACAGGTACCGGTACATAACTTCATTGGTTTATTATTGTTTATTAATGTACCACATAAAAACATGTTTAATGATGATGTTTGAGGAAATCTTGCACAGTAAGGATAGCCTAAAATCCACTTCGTGTTCGACTCAGCTTGCAGGCCAACTGCCATAAGCCAGTAAGGTTGCATGTTCACTGAAGCATGTAACTTTCGATAACTTGAACGTCGGATAACTCGAACTTTTCATCCATTCCCCTGAGCTTCGACTTATCGAGATTTTACTGTATACATATACTTGGACTTGGACTCAGAATTCGGGACGCAGATTCGGCCCAGTACTCGGCCTTGAATGTACTTGTACTCGGTGCTTTGGACTCGGACTCATCATCAGTGTACTTGTACTCGGCCTGGGACTCGGCACCTAAATTACTCGGAGTACCCCCGGTACTCTGTAGTCGGATTTTAGGACTCAACTCCAATACTGATGTACACTCATACCTTGATACGGTACTATTGTAGACAATTGAATCTCAACATTGTCATGCATTTCAATGCGTACATGTACACTGTACATGTACGTGTACAGTGTACATGATTTATGAGTTGAACAGATGTCACAACACAGTACTCTCTCCACACAGCTTAGTTTGTGGCCGTGTTATTTCAATGTGCAATTAACCTTTGCTAGACAGACTGAGCAAGCCTGTCTGGACTCGCTCAACTCTCCTCTCATCGACTTTTTCAACTGAATGTTTAAATCATACTAATGGCTTACATGTACTTGTGTTTGCTGTGCATTGTAGGTGTGTCGTGTAGTCAGACTTGTACTTCGCCCATGTCGCCCATCTCGCACCGGGTGCATGCCTACGACAAGCAGCCGCGTCGCTGTCTGGCGGGCTGTGTCAGTGCAGCATCGTCCAATCCCGACATCGTGGAGGTCCACGTCGTCAACCTCCAGTCTTCGACATCCACCACCTCTACCTCAGCTGCGGACTCCGAGAGCAGCCCGTCGAACCTTGTGAACTTTCACTTCAAGCCCAAGCAGGCGGGGTTTTTTGCGCGGTCCCTTGTGTTTGTCCTGAACTCGGCTGAGCCAGTCCGGTGGAGAGTTGAAGGAGAGAACATTATGTCCATACCCAAATTTACAATAAAAATTGTGGTAAGCAAGTGGCTCACGTCACATTCACAATTTTACCCTGCCTCCTCCGTATCAAAATGTCCACTTCACCCTATCCCATCAATGAAGTGTTGTACATGTACACTTTCCAGTGGAAGTGGTACTTAACAAAACTGTTCCTTTATAAGGAAACAAACCATGAAGGCTGTAAATAATGTACATGAACTTGAATTCACCGCTAAACCTTGATTCTCTGGAGGTTCATTTACTCTCAGCATGCTGACGTCTTACATGCACATTGTTGGACCTGAGTAAAAGCTGGTTTAGCTTGAGTTTGACCTAAAAACCAGGGTGCGAAATAAACACTCAGGTCAACCTCAAAGCTGTTCTTGGCGTCCTGTTAAACCACCTGTTGAAGACTAATCGTAAAATTTGTATTAGTACGAGAAATTGAAAAAAGATGTAAAAGACGAAATTGATTAGCTAAAGCTTTCTGCTTATCGTAACTTGGCATGGAACTGACCCTTTTCACCCTCAAGGTTTGACCGTCAAGAAAAATGCGGTGTGAGATCCAAAAACATTAACATTCCCCCTCAGCACTGCCAAGATTGTGAAGTTGTTCAAATAAGGCAGAATGGACTGTTTCCAGTATGTTAAGATGAAAGTCTTTAGGCAGAGTTGACGGAATGTGATTCACCAGTCGCGAACACGTGGCACGTGATACAACGCACCCTGGGAAGAAGGGGAATGCGTCTGTTACTCAGTTAAATGTCTTTTGACAGTCTCTGAACTTCATGCAGAACTCGTCAAAGGACGTTACTTGCCACATCATTCTCCTTGATGTTTAACCACAGCCCCGGGCCCCAGGCTGATCCTTAAATGGAATGAACACCCTTAGTTACATGTACACAGAGACACGAATGTTGGTTGAGTTCAGAGGGCATGATTTACTACTGGGTCTTTAAGAGAATTCCAGGCAGGGAGGTCACTGCTCGGGAAGCTTGGGGTTAACTTTATTTGAGTGTCTAGCCAGACATTCTGCATTTGTGCTGTTGGCTTTGCCTTAGATGAATTCCAAAACATATGAATTTTTTTTTATTGCAACTATATTGACATTGGTCGCAACTTGTAGCTGATACATCCTCACTGTAGGGTCTTAAAACACCATTTGTTTTTATTCATTTTTTTCTTGGTGGTTAAAAGCAAACCAAATGTAACGAAACAAAACAAAAAATACAAATAAGGAAACACCACCAGAAAGTAAAGTGCAGGAAACTTGGTGAAGTTTGGGCACTTTACTGAATGTTTAGTAGCCCCAGTTTTCAGTTCGCAGGTCCTTTTTTTAGATGCGTGGCCACACAAAAGTGTTTTTAATATATGATCTTATTACTAAGTTTGAATCCTTTGTGGTTTTCCCCCTCTCTGTCCCCTCTTCCAACCCCCTCATTCTTTGCAACAGGTACCGCCTCATTCGTGTAATTCTGTAACTTGGAATTCTGGGATATCACTGTCTGTCAGCGTGGTCTGTTTATCGCTACCTCTCAACAACTCGGACCTCTTAAACTTCACTCAAATTCAATACGGTAGTGTCAGCACCTTCAGTGAGGTTCTGGATGCAAATGGCCTCGGCCTACTAGTTGGTGCAGGTAGGTACACGTCCGGACACACCCTCTGTTGTCTGGGCCCATTTCATGGAGGCTACATGTGTAACATCGGCATCCGTCCACTGTAGAGTTAGTCACAGTCTTTCATCCACAATTTGCTGAGCAAGCTTAAGGAAGTTAGCTATCGATCCTGTGCTGTCTGCGTGAGTTCCTCTTAACAAGCGACGTCCAAGTTGACCATTTTAGTCTTTAATTGTGGAAGTCCGAGCCATGGCCACTAATGCCTTGTCTGGCTTCAAGCCAAATAATCCCAATGCTTGGAATGCAAAACATTCTTTTCATTCTCATTTTGTGGATTTGTTTTGGTTTGTTTGTTTTGGTTATTTGTCCTGGCAGGCATTACTAGTCCCCCGACATGCGTCCTCAAGTCGGATTTCCAAACGCCAGACTTCACCGCCAAATTCATCCGAGAGCAGCCCATCACTGGCTGCCAGACGCAAGAGCTCCTGGGTCCATTACAGCGCGAGTTCCATGTCATTCTGCTGCAGGATGTCGCCGGTGCCCCTGCCACGGATACCAGCAACCCGCTACTGGTGACCGTGCAGCTGCAGCCAGTGAGGAGTGAGGAGAGCGCCTGCGATATCATTCTTGTCCTGGTGTCGGAGGCCAATGTGACCTGGAAAGTCAACCCAGGAAGAAGGCGAGGCCTCTTACAAGTCATAGTACGTTTGCTTTTTTTTGCGCAATTAAATTTTTATACTAAAAGGAAGCTTTCCTCCACAGGTCTGTCCCGTTTCAAAGATGGAAAGCACACTTGGATTGATATTGTATTAAGAATCCTCAGGATTAAGGTGAAGATTGAAAATATAAGTAATTAGTCAACCTGTAATGATTTGAACCAAGGTCTAAGAGGTTGAAAGTGTATTTTGCCATCAGTGGTCAGTTGAAAATGCGTGGAAATCCTTTGGGTTCCAATCCACTTGTGTGTCTAAATTATTTAGAATATCAAGTCTAGGCTTGAAGTCTCAGATCATTCAAGCCGCGTGTTACACAAGCTACGGTTTTCCATTTGAAAGACCAAAATTCTTTTCCTTGTTCATCAGAGTCCCAACTGGGTGGACATGAGGCAAGATTTTATGAACCAGTTCGAGAAGCGAGAATTGCCGAGGAACCCAGAAGGGCTGAGAGTATGGGCAAAAATGGAGCAGCGGCCTCTGACGTCGTTCACCAGTGCAGAAGTGGCCAATGAGTTTGTCATCATGTTGGGTGAGCTTTTCCATTTGGTCAGTTGAAAATGGAGAGTTTAAGGTAGTTGGTAGTTTTCTGATTTTCATTTCTACCCTTTTTAGTTGTGGTAGATTTTGTGTCTCTGCCCCTGATGCCAAACTTGTACCCTTTTGACGTTTTTATCTCCTTACATGTCCCTCCTCAGAGCACAAGACCCCTCCCACCAGGGAACCTCCTTCCCTTGTCTCCATCATTAAGCAGTACACCATCACGGATTGTCGTCGGGACGGCATCACAGTTCGCATCCTGCGTCGGGTCATGGATGCTTTTGAGCTGTTAGCCAGCAACATGATGCTGCGGGATCACTCGTGCCGCGCGGTGGAGTCGGGGGACTATTACATCATCGATACGCAACGGGAGCAGTGTGGGACAACTATGACAGTCATCGACACGGGACAGGTGGTTTATCACAATGAGGTCAGTCCGGGTTCAATTGTTACGTCGCTCTGGCTTGCTAGCCACCTGTGGCACAATGTTGACACGTGTCGATTCATTGCACATGTACTCTCCTTCCCTTTTCCCAAGTGATCACATTTGGAGAGAGACATGGGCAGACAATTGATTAGGCTCAATTCGCATCTTTGCACGCTGGTTTGTGCCTGTCTTGCGTCAAGTTTGCTCAACCAAATTTCATGGGCAAGTTCTCCACTGCACAAAGCATTATATTTGCACACAATCCAGAAATCGAGATAGGGTCTGACTGGCATGTTCTGTGAACACGGCAAAGCTTAAAGTTGTGCTTTATGGCATCCATGACTGTAAGAACTCCTCCTTGTTTCTTAAAGAAAAGCAGTAAAATTAGGAGACACAACACACAAATATTTGATTTGAGTTTGACAACTGTTTTCAAGTACAAAGTTGAAAAGTTGATTTCTTAGCTCTTTCAATTTGGACAATTTTGATGTCTTGTAAAAGAATGGTTTGAGATAATTGTGACTGTGCACTTGTGATGCACCTGGTTTTCATGTCGCAGATTGATTCTGTTGGTCAAATCTCAAGAAGTGCAGCAGCTTATCACCAAAGTCTCTTTTTGTCCAAGTTGCCATTTCCTCAGAAGTCTCCCATTAATCTTAATGTGTATGTGTCTGTGAGTGACCCTGCAGTAAACCTGAATGACTTTGGCGTAGACTTTGGACTAAATTTGGAGAAATTTGTTGTTAGTAAATTGAGAAGACAAATCTGTGGCAGTGCCATAGATTTTGTTTAAAGCCTAATGGGATCCTTACTGGAACAAAAGGGAGTTGTTGGCTAAACAGTGGTTTCTCTCCCTGGTTGGCACATTACATGAGCATTGAAAAGTTTGAGCAAATACTGTTGTTAACCAGAGTTTGACTGAAGTGAGTCGCCTGAATGATGGATAGTTTCAACCATCTAGGTACATGTAGTAGACTGTTTGGATTAGGCTTTGGGCATGGTTGCACCATTGGTTATCAAAAGCCAATTCAATTGATCAGTACGGAGGCAACCATTCATACAGACACACAGCTTTTCCTTGGATCAGCTGATTTCCTCGTTTTTCACTTCACACTTATGCCATTGAAAATTGAAAAACATGGTACAAAGTCTTGTAAAGATTGGAATTTCTTCGTTCTTGTTAACGTCCTAGTTGCATGTCTGTGAACATTGCCAGAGTTGTAGTTCACAGCAAAATGTAAATTTTACAAAGTAGTCCGAATGAGGTCTTTCGAGTGTGACTGTACTGAGCATGTGCATAATTAAAAGCAAGTAACCAGTGGTCAAAGTATAGTTAGGGACCAAACTTGCCAATGCTTGTTGCTTTGGCAAAACATTTTTATTCCTAATACAAATTCTGAAATCTTTATCATTGGTGTTTACATTTGAAAGGTCGTTTACACCAACGAAGAGAGTGTAATGGAAGGCAGCGGGGAGTCAGACCTGGAGAGGTTGATGGGTGGGCTTCATGTTCCAGTAGACGATGAACAGTCCCTCACGGCCCGAATTCCTTTCACTTGCGAGTACGACAGCACGGGAGAGGTCCTGACTAGTGACTGGTTCAGTGGTGGAAAGGTCAGTGGTTAGGATAAGAAATTAGGCCTTGAGGAAGACACAGGCAAAGAACTGCAGTGCATGCTCAAAAGACAAACTTCAAAATACAAGGACAGCTCGGAATTCCTCTCAGGTTCCTTGCATTTGATTTATTCCACCCTACCCTTTCTCCAATCCCCTCACCCTGGCTCAAAACAGTAAGACATAGCAGTTATGCATGAACGTATTTTGCCAAAGCTGTATCTAAATTACTTGTTTACAGCTTGAGTTAACGCACAAGACTACGGACCTCTATCATGGGGCAGCCATCTTGCTTTCTACCATTCAAACCGATGTAATCAAACTGAGGCCCTGTCCGAAACGGGCTTCCAGAGCTACGGCTAGGTCTATTGTCTGCGCGTCTCCATGCATTTCCAATGGAGCAAATACCTCGACCTAGCTCTAGACAAGAGATTCGGATGCAGCGTGAGGCTGGAAGGAGAAAATAGTCTGATTCCTTTGATAACTATGGGAAGTTGTATTACTACTGCCAGTGGGTCTACAGGGAACAAGACAAACATGGCAGCATCATGATAAAGGTCTATGGGAAGTAGCTAAAGCTTCTAGTTATTGGCCCTCATAGACTCACATGTCATCCCTGGTCGTAGTCAGACATAGCCTAAAGGCTGGTTCATACCACAGGCAAGTTGAAACGTGTTCAACATTTGCAAATTGGCAGTGTGAATATTTTATCTGACGTCACAGATTTGCATTTCATGTTCGCTTTTGCACAAAATATGAAGTGGTCTTAAGTGTGGTTCAGTATGGACTCAATGTGTATCCAAACCTTTAATGGTAAAAAAACGATCAAATCTGAATTTTGGCAAAGAGCTTGTGCAGTCACATGCATTGTCCTTGGGGAA